CCCTCCCTCCCTCCCTCCCTCCCTCCCTCCCTCTTTTTTCCTTATGATTTATGCTACTATATGCATTTGTATATTTTTAATCAGTTTCCATAATACAATTATTTTAAATGTAAGCACTTTTTAATGGGAAAATACCTACCCATTCCCAGGTAAGTAGTTGTCCAACTTCCTTAAGTCATATTTGTATTGATAACAAGAAGCAAAAGATTGAGAAATAAAATGTTGGATTGTGACTAGCTAAATGGAAATACACAGATGAGCACTTGTAGTTTTGTGCCCATCAATCCTGCTAAGCCATGATTTCCTTTAAATCACAGCTTGTTGAAAAAGCTACAAGTGCCTGTGTCACTCTTATTGCTACCTCATAAATCATGGTTTACAAAGCAGAATGGCTGAGTTCATACAATATATTAAGACAAAAACTCATCAAGAGATGGCTTGTGATCACACAGGTTGAAAGTTGATTCAGATAATATGGCTGCCATGTATTCTCAGTCATACTAGATATGGCTGCATTCGAGCAAAGAGAGATGTCACTTGTGAATCCACCAAAATAGCAGTGGTTGGCATCTAGTTCCACAATCTGTGCAGCACTTTTTCTCGGTGACACAACTGTTGGATCGCTGCCAGTTTTATCCATGCTCTCTTGATTCATCTGAACATGTCTTTCTATGGGACCTTCTCTAGACCAGTCTGCCCATAGAACACAACCCCTAGGTGACGCCACAAAGCAATCTCCCCCAAAGCAATCTCCCCCAATTTTGCACCTTCCTGGTGTGCTGGATCTGTGACTTTCAGGATTCGCATCAGCATGGCCAAAGCAAAGAAATTCTGGGAGTCAACATTCCACCACATCTGGAGGGCACCAGGTTGAGAAAGGATGCCATCGATGGCTGGTAAAAACCACGGAGTGTCATCAAACATAAGAGGGCTACCCAAAATTCAGCACATTGTCAGACTCCCTTAAGAGAAGAATCTTCTTGCATGACCGTAACCTCGAGGGACCCCAGGCTCTTTGAGACCACTGATGCTCCTCAGACTCCTCCGCTTCTCCTTCCTGCTGCCCCTCTCCCCATCCTCACTTCTTTTACTCTGACCTCTTCCATTTCCATTCTATCCCCATCTCTCCCCTACTCCCTCCCCTACCCCTAACTTCAGATCTGATCCTCCATCTTTCCCAGGGCTCGTCTCCTCCCGGACATCTCCCATCCCTTCGCTCCTCCCTCCCGCTCCCGGGGGTTCTTCAGTCCATCGTCCCATTCCCAATCTTCCCCAGGACCAGGCTGGCTCGCCCTTCCCTCCCTCTCTCCCTCCCTCTCTCCGAGTCTCACCTTTCCCCTAGGCTTCCCTCCCTCCCTCCCTCTGTCCCGGACGCTTCTCCTCTGCCCCATCCTATTTCGAGAGTCCCACTTCTCCCCCCATCTCTCCCCGCCTCCGTCCTTCTGCCCCTCTTTGCCTTTCTCTGCCCCCCGTTTAAGCAGATCGCCCCCTCCCTCCCTCCCTCCCCCAAGATTTCTCGGCGCTGCGCTGCAGTTGGATTCGCGTTCCTCAAGCCCCCCTCCCCTTTTTTCGTTTTCCTCGCGCTCGCTCTCCCCAGCTCCGTCCATCCGCCCCCTTCCTCCGCCTCCCGCCGCTCTTCCCGGCCGCTTTGCCTGCCTGCCGTCCCCTTCTGCCCTGGCGAGCCCCGTCCCGCCTCTCTTCACTTCATGCCCTCGACGCCCACGTTCCCACGGGGCGGGGGGAGACTCACCTGCTGGTAGCCCAAATCCTCTGGAGCAAATTCGCTCCCCGCTGCCTCGAACTGGAAGTTGATATGCGGCGCCTGGTGCAGAAGGAAAGTCCACCACGAAGCTCGGTAGCCCTGGGGGGAGCCCATCCTTCCCGCCCGGGGCGCCCAGAAGCCCGGCGCTGCTCACCGGGCTGGACGTCGCCCTCCCATGCTGGTGCAGGGACGGATTTGGGGAACGGAGTGAAGAGAGGCTCTGCGAAACATCAGGGCTTATCCGCGCGGGATATTGGGGGGAGGGAGGGGGATTGTGGGGAAATAAGGGGGAAGCTGGTGGGG